AAAGACAGAGCGTTCGAAACGCGTTTGTGGTGCATTGAAGTCGGTGGCAAGTCAAGATGAATTCAAGCAGCGTTTCTGAATACGGGAGAAAGACTCCTGAAGTAATCACTGGCAGGAAATAGAGTGTGATGGCGAGTCGAGTTTCACAATATCGTTTTGTTTGTTGGCGCACATCGAAACCCTCAGTGCTTATGACGTGGGGCATAGGGGTCGGGCTTTACCGCAAAAAATTTGAGCGGAAGTTACGTGTGGACGTCGCCATTATTTTACCCATTTTGTCAACGTCCGCCTACCTGTGTTTACAAACATGGCATGGGTCTATATCTGTAAATAGAAGCGTTGGTGACTTGCTGTTCTTAGAGGCGGACGTGCTTCTTCTCTCGGCGCTGCGCGCCGAAACTGTGAGTGGCTGCCGCCGGCGGCGTTGGTCTGCTGCGACCTTCGTTCTTTTTCGTAGGCGTCGCAGCCACAGCCGACCCCGACACAACAATGGCGACGAGGTAAAGTACGGACACTTTCTTTCTTAGTCTCCCTTTCCCGGTTCACCTCAATGTTCCCTTCTGCTGCGACGCTACATCGGCGTTTCGTGCCTTTGTCCTTGTTCTCTGTAGCAACCGCCGCGTTGTGCGTCTTCTGCTTTTTACTTGGCGAGCAGCCTTGTCGCATAGTTGGTTCCTGCCTTCAACTTTGAGGATTTTTCTTTTCATCTTTTCACGTTGGAGTTTTTTTTCTTGTTCAGTTTTCTTTTTTTAGTTAGTGTAGAATTTCAGTAGTTAGTGTGGAATTAGAAGGAATAAAGGACAGGGAGACAACACTCGATCTTGAGCCAGCTGCTCTTATAGTCTACTTCGTCTTCTTCTGCCTCACTTAGCTGCCCGTGACCGAGCCCCCACGTCTTTCTTGGTCATGACAGTATACACAAAGAGTAGGGACGTTACCAACGCGAGCTTATGACTCTTGTTAACTGAGAATTCATTGTTGAACGAGAAACATTACGAGCCCCTATCCGAATCACGAAAGAAGTACTACTGCTTACCGACTCTTTTCAGACAGGGGTCAATAGACGCTGCTTTCTTCAGTGTAGTGCACTTGCGGACCCGGGCATCTAAGGGCCCCAAATACCTGCTATTGCTTTGTTTCGCGCGGCCAGGAGCCGCTTGTCCCTCTAAATGTTGTAAGGTGCTAAGAACCCAGCACTTATTTGTTAGACAAGAGTCTCTTTTTTATGGGAATAAAATTAAGCAGCCTTCATGAGCGGGCTGCCTCAGTCTTTTATGGTGGTGCCAGCCTTTGACCCACCCACGACCCCCTCTTTCAACTTACGACCTGCTTACTGGCGTCAGCCTACGGAGGCATTTGGGCTTAAAAATTGGCGCGTAGGGGCCACTGCCAGGTGCCACCGCGACTTACCCCGATAGCAGACGACACACGAACGTCATGGTGCACTCCTGCGTGCGTGTTCCTTTCATTTTTTTTTTCAGTTTCGAACGTGTGGATGGAGCAATTCACAGAATAAGCGTCTCGAAGCACCATTCTAGCTGTCTTATGCACCACGGTGGCTGGCTCCAAGGTCTGCACTACCGGTAACACGTGCTAACCTTGAAAAGTAAAAAAAAACGATCGAACGCGCGCACGCACATGTAGAAAAGCGGTTTGATGGATGAAGCGTTGGGGTATGTTGTGGCGCCTCGTCCCTAGCCATGGCGTGCTGTGGAACATTAGAGAACTAAAAAAAAAGTCGCAGATTTGCCGGAAAAGTGAAGCAATGCACGCGTTAGCATGAATTGGAAGGTAACACGCAGGATGGCAAGCAAACCCAAACGTGTCCCGTGTTTTTAACGCACATATGACGCACTAAACGCACTCACAGCCTGGATACAGATGAACGCAAATAAGCATCTCAGTTGTTACTTCGCTGTGTCTGGAAAGTGCGCCTTTTTCCAAATGGAGGCTGTGCAATGACTGCTGGGACCTATGTGCGCCCCGACGCTAGCCAAGACCTATGATCTTCCCCACCGGGAGACAAAAGATGCGCGAGAGATCGTCCCCTCTCCTTCTTTTCGGGGTCGAAAGTACGCGTGGGAGTTGAGAGCCGCCGCGCGCTCGCCACGCCATGTTGCTGATAATGCTGAAGACAAGATGGTTTCCCCCCAAGATACCCGCCAACAGCGGTAACTGGTAGATATAAATAACTTGCCATTTGATGTTCAAGTAGAAACCCTTCGATGGCTCAGTGGCTAACGCCTCGCATTTACCACACGGAGGTCCCATGTTCGATACCGTATGTTGGAGTCTTTTCTTTCTTTTCTTGCGTTTCCGCATATATATATATATATATAATTATTTATATACATATATATATATATATATATATCTATATATATATATATATATATATATATATATATATATATATATATATATATATATATATATATATATATATACGGTGCATGACATAGAATTGACGCCAGCGGCGATGTTCAGCTAAGAGTGTGAACATAATTGTTATCGCAATTAAAATAACCAAGCGAAAGCAAATATGCCACCATCTACTTAAACACAATGCTGCCAGTTCTTGTGTTCATGGCGAAAAGCACCATGTTGGTTCTCGCGGCTAGGCGTTCTTGCTCTGCCGCACTGCACCAACTGCACGTTGACTTAGGTGTGCAAGCTGTGGTATGAGTTGCGGTTGACTACATCGTAGACATAGCTTCCGCTACGACACCATTGTCGCGCTAAGCGCACCTAGGACAACCTTGAAGTGTAAACTCCAAGGTGCTGCGTGCTGTAACGCGGAACCATCTGGAGACTGTTTCGCTTTCTGACTTGCTCAAGCCGACAGAAATGCTGAATTACAAAAGTAAAGCTAGATTGCTTAGAACCGACTGCTTCTACACGTGTTTCTGAGCCGAGTACACGTTGTATCAGTTGAGAATGTCATCGCATATTTCATGAAAGTATTGACCTAATCATGTGACGAAAAGCAGTTTCCTTAAAGTAAAGTGGATAGCTTGCACAGTGAAAGAATTAATTAAGCTTCGTTTGGCCAGGCCGGTTTATTCGAGCGAAAGCTGGTTAACCTAAGTACGCTGTTTACCAATCGAATGATATGACTAGTCAACGTGTGGTCTTGCATGCATTCACTATCTGCGTTTTTTCGGTTTCCGAAGCCGTCGCCGCATTCATCGTGGAAAATGCCAGGCCGACAAGCCACGAACAGACGCTCACGTTCGCGTCTACCTTGGCTGGCACATGTGAGCGTTTTTGCACTTTCACGTCGGTCGCTGAGGAAGGGCAGTTGAAGATGTATGCAAACAAGCCGACGAACACGTTTTCTGTAGACTCTTGTTGTCGTGCACAGTTCCAACACAACTAAGTTTTGTGCTTCTTGCCATGGGGTATTCATTCTTCCCTTCAATGACACGCGGAACCACACCAAAACTCACTCAACAATAAAAAAAGGCTTTCGCTGTATTAATATAGAATGCGACAGATTTACTGTTCGTGTCCGTCCATCTTTCTCTCTGTCTTTTGGTCCTGAACGGTGCAGCATAAGTGCACTAAGCGATTAAGTTGTTGGCCCATAACTCAAATATGCTTTATGAGAAATTGGTGCGGCGTCGTTATTTTTTTGGTCCCGTTGTTTCATAACCAGCCTCAAAGATGATTTCATATCGTGTACTCAGGTTTTACCTAATGCTTGTAGAGAAAATTTGTACGGACTCCATGTATGTGGTGGGCGCCGTGTATTAAATTTTGCCTTGATGCTTTATAGTAGGCCCACTGCGAGAACGGAAGCTTCCAGCAAAGGAGGTGGGGCAGTTAGAAGAAATTGTGGCCAGATGCTGTTTGGATGCTGTTTGCATAAAGACCTGGGAAAACATTGTTTGGCTCTTTTTCTGTTCTACACGTTTTTCCTGTTTTTCAAAACGGTGACTAACTTGACAAAACAACCCTTCAGCTTTCAGAACTTGCTATATTAAAAAACTACCCCCATCTTGTTAAAACCCACGCAGCCTTCAGTATAAATGAGACACCGCTGACAAACAACATGGCGACCTGTCAAGTATAATGGCCATTTTATCCAGTTTTAAGCAACCATGATTGGAGTTGTCACCACCCTAAAACATGGCGACACGCGCGCACGGAGGATCCCTAAATAAACTAAAGAATTCACTCCACCTACTAAGAACAGCAATGCACCACTATCCACAAACCAAGAAAGAGCTCTAAACTTCTCGCTCCACAGTGCGCGGCGCTAACCGTTAGGCCACAGCAGTCCACAGCTTTCAGCATACTAACGGCGAGATATTTATGTACGCCATTTACCTCTGGCGACACGCCGATATCTGGGCAATATCAGCCTGCTCTCTGCCCAACTAGCAAACCAGCAAAACTGCGTGATGTGCGTGCAAGGCACCTCACTCGAGCCGATATGTTGGCTCAGAACCTACACATTGCCCTATAGGGCCTAGTTCACTTTGCAGTTCGCGTGCGTGGTCATCTTCTGGCGGGAGCAGATGGACACGTCGTATTCTTTCGCCAGAAATATTGCGTTCGAGTGACAGAACATGCAAAAGTCACTTGATTAGCTGCAGAGGTCTCGCAGGCAAAAAAAAGCGTGGTGTTCAAACACAGTGAAGTAACGGCTGTGACATTTGTTATTTAGCATTTGTTTTGTTTAAACGTGTGCGTAAGTTTTGTGTGTCATTTGTGTTTGAGAGGCACGTTAATTGTCGAGCTGCGAACATTGTTAGTATACGCCCTCATAAGGCGTCTGTTTCTTGCGTGCGTCGTTTGTGCGTGGGCAACGTGCTCCAAGTTTTTATCTACTACTCTCTTCGCTTGACATCAAAGAGTTGCTATCACATTCATTGCTTCGTCGTGGAGGCCAAGATGTGAGATTTTTGTGCTTGGGAAGGTAATCTTTTGAACATTACTTACACGAGTATGCGCATCGTGCGAAATCAGCTTTTATTATTAATGAGAAGACTTACTACAAGTAAGGCCACTGTGTCCATCAATCTGATGATAGCCACTGGGTTTTTTCCCATGTCCGCACTTTAGAGTTAATGGTATTTTTATTGGTCCGCCACCTGAAAAAAGTGAACGAAATTGAGCTTCATTTCTTAACAAAAGAGGTACCACATATAGGACTATTTATTTATTTTGTAATTTATTATTTATTACGTGCCGGAAAGCCTGTTGCCCAAGCGTAAACGAAATAAGCATGGTATATCACCATTATTTGCAAAGGAACCATGGCACATGTTGGTGACTTAGTGAAGAGATATACCTATAGGTATAGTACTCTTTGATGATAATTATAAGCTTGTGTTACTTGTGTTTTTGTTTGTCTACATAGAGTTACAAAACGTCACAGCTTTGCTGCAAAGACGAAGCAATGAATGCGATAGCAAATATTAGAAATATCATGCGAAGAATAGAAAGCAGATCAAATTATTCCCCTCGTTGCCCCGCCACGGTGGTCTAGTGGTTAAAGTACTCGGCTGCTGACGCGCAAGTCGCGGGATCAAATCCCGGCTGTGGCGGCTGCATTTCCGATGGAGGCGGAAATGTTGTAGGCCCATGTACTCAGATTTGGGTGCACGTTAAAAAACCCCAGGTGGTCTAAATTTCCGGAGCCCTCGACTACGGCGTCTCTCATAATCAAATAGTGGTTTTGGGACGTTAAACCCCACAAAATCAATCAATTCCCCACGTTGCGTACGCACAAATGATGCATGAAACGTACTCACAGGTACACAGACACAGGGAAGTTGTTAAAAACACAGACACAGGGAAGTGTCTAGAAAGCGTGCCCTTTTCACGAATGGAGACTGTACAGCGAGTGCAGTGACCTTCGTGCTCCCGGCAACTGCAGCATAATCATTCTGGTGAAAGCTCAAGGTGTACGACTCACTCCACCACGACATTTGCGCGTGTGCTCGTAAGCGTCTACCCTCCCCCCACATTCTCCACGGTGCAAAGTATGCGTAGAAGATTAACGCACAATCGCGCGTCCCGGCAAAGTGATGATCTGGCGACGCGTGCTCATTGTGCCTTCTCACTGACAATGCTTAAAACGCGATAGTTCCCTCAAGAGTGGCATCGTCAGCGGTAAGTGATATATATGTGACGTATGAAGCGCTAGTTGGTAGAGGCAGAGAAGGAAGAAGTGCAGAACAGAATAAACAGAATATGAGCCACGCCACGTTACCCAGTCATCGTAGCGTCACACACACACACACACACACACACACACACACACACACACACACACACACACACACATATATATATATATATATATATATATATATATATATATATATATATATATATATATAGCTTGCCGTTTCAACATTAAAGGAGGTGCTCTTTCATGGCTCCGTGGCTAACACCACACACTCAAAAGCAAGAAGGCACATTTTCGATTCTGCGCGCCAGTCTCTCTATATGAATTATTTTTCTTTCTTGCTTTTTCATACATATAAATGCGTGTAGATATACGGTAAAAGATGGCGGTCAGCAACGTTGACGGCGATGCCGGCGGGCATATCCAGGCGGGAGTTTCCATATAATTACTATCGCCATAAAATAAATTAAAGGTGACTTGATATACGCGCAGTTAGGAGTGTGGTGCGCTTTTCATTTCTTCAGAAATATTGATTTCATTGTTTTATCTTGACGAATTCCTATAATTCTACTTTACTATAGACTAGTATTATTCTTTCATTTTTCATCAATTCATTTGCGAATTAGGCTGCATCAGTTAGAGAAAAGTGTCTATTTTAACATAACAGTAGCCCGGACCAGGGTGAATTTTTCGACAAGGAAGAGGCTTTTCCTCCTGATAAATGCGTATTAATTTCCTTGTGGCTTTGTTACTGGAAACAGGTGGTTGTTTTCTTTTTCGTTTTTAGCCCTTTCACTATTCTCGAGGTAAGAAGAGCTTATTTGCATTAAAATAACAGTGCCGAAGACCTACTTTCGTAGAAAGCCCTCTATAGGCAATACTGGTTGGGAGCAAAAAATCAGTGCACTCGCTCGCTGGATTTTGCGTCGACCGGTTGTGCCCCCGCGATCTCCGACGACAGCGCAGCTCTGGCCTACTCGGCTCCCCCTACGCTTTCTCCTGATGCTGACAAGAGCTCTCGCCGAGTGGTGCCCCGTCCTGGTACTCTTAAGGCCAAGTCCATGTTTTCTATCTCCTCTTTACTTCCGTCGCTTGCTGTCCCTGCACCTCGCTCTCTCCTTCCTCTCTTTGAACCTATCCTTTTAATTCCTCCTTACCCCCATCTTTTGTGAGCTACTGTTGAGGTATCGCACTCTCATGCAGGCAGTTACAGGGCTCACTTTTGTCTTTCTGTTTAAAAACCACATAAGAAGAAAAAATCAGTGTCGTGTGCCATCGGAAAACGCAGAAAGGTGCAGACAAGACAATGTTAATTTTGGTTCATGTGAGAATTCAGCTGAGGCCTTCTGCATGGCAAGCAGGTGTTCTACCTCAGATACACTCCATTGCTTGCAACTGCCGCGAACAAAAAAAAACTGTACATGAACGTCATATAGTGGCAAAAGTCTTCCCAACGTGAGGTGGCATGCCAGGAACGTACTATTTCGCAAGGCATCAAAACGTGTGAAATGCATACCAAGTGGGTGAGCTCATTCGTGCAATTGGGAACAGTGTCGAAACTTTGTGTGTTTTATTAGTAATGTTTTGGTGTAAATATTGTGATAGATGTTGTGTAATAATGAATATCAGTGTCAAAGTCAGCTACCATTTTCATATCAAATACTCTGAAAATTTATATTGTTAGCATTATTCATGTGATTCATCTTCTCCATACATACTCATCATCATCATGTGGCCTTCACAAATAAAATAGGAGTCTTGTGTTCTGAAAGTTGTTTTGACAACGGCGGAGAGTGCTGCCTGGTCCCCTAGTCTGCTCCATGCACTGGCGCATCGTCAGCCCCAACTAAACAGCTTTCCTGCACTCTGTTCGCGTCAGCACCTTCGCAACAAGCTCTCAGCCATGTCTAGAGGGCATTATTAAAGGCACTACTAACTAGGTTTCTGGTGGCGAAAATAGAAGGGCGAAACACTGTTTTAGGCCCCAAAATTCTAATTATAGGCGCATTGAACATTGAAAAACTCTAAATTTTCGAGGAATTACAAGTGAGATTTGTGTCTACGGCAAAAACTCAAACAGCATTATTTTAGTTTATGATAGCACAAATACTGGTATGATTTAACATAGCCATGTATTTTTTTTCTCACAGGCTTTGCAGATTACCGTCTTTCTCTTTTGTTTTTTAGTCCAGCATGGCGAGTAAGCTTCTCATTTAGAATAAATTTGCCGTTCAGTATTTTCTGTGTATGGCTGAGAAAGGCAACACGGGAGCAAAGAACCAGAGCACTAGAAGCCCGGAATAGTCTTTTTGCTTCGTATTCACTTGGGCTAATCGCAAAGAGTTCATTTTTCTTCTGTTCACGAACACATTAAAAGCCCATTCACCAGTATAAGAATTCCGAGCATACAAAAGGAATGCGTGCACTGGGCATTCGCAATCTGATCTGCAGAGATTTTCTAAGCTTGGTGCACCGGAAAGAGGTTAAATGTCAGATTGAACGCCACTAGACCATGTCACGGGCGGGCGCACCGACATAGTGGTGCTGACGTATACAACAACGTATGGTCCTGCGTACTCCTGCGAAGGGCGTGATACTTCGATAATTATTAGAGGCGATGTGCTTATTTGTGTAATCTGCAGCCTCAATACAGGTATGAATGTTGAAAGCAATATTAAAATACATATTCGGAATGTATGTGCGTTACTTTTTAAGCTTGTTGCGGAACTAGATGCGGGATTAAGTTGCCAACATTTCGTTTGCATTGCAGTTTCTCGCCGTTCTCGTATCGTGCTACTGCCAGCATTCACAATGCTTGGCGGTTGTTGGTGTGTCTTACCATAGAGCGGTACTAGCGATGCGCCGCTATCATGGCAAAGATACATGATCCATGCGGGCCTTTACAAACGTGCGCATATAAAGAAATCTATCTCACAGAAACGGACAGTTCAATACAGAGAATGGCAAAATGACTCAACACCACTTGTTTGCAGATCAGGCATGGTCATGTCCTGCAAATGTAACCTTGCGTGCGCATGACGTGTTGATGCGTCTACGCCATATGATCTTCTGGCTCCTTGTTGCTACAATATTGAAGACGGCAGGAAAGTAATTTGGCTTGCAAAGTATACACTGGGCGAGTCGCAAATGTTTCAAGCTTACCTACTCAAATCAGGTTTTCGCGGCTTTCAACAAACCAATCAAAAATTCTAGTGGTGCTAAGGATTTCAATCTGCACGCAACAAATTCCAGGGCATAAATTAAATTTCCCATGTGACCCAGTGCAGCGCCACTTGAGAAGTAAATTACAAACAAAACAAATACCACTTGGACATTCTTTTTACTTACACTATACTTCCGTCTGATGGCACACCACGATTACACATTCTCTCACCAACGTTCTGCTGCGGCACAGAAGCACCTCCCGTTCTCTACGCGTGCGAGAAGACGCCGGAAAGTTGCCGAGTGGACGACGCGACGCGGATGAATATTTGTGTAGAGGCTGATCGGCCTTCGTATTGGCAAAGACACATTGTAGTCTTGACAGTTCTGAAAACAACTTATGAGATGAAGTGTAGGTTGCACCACATAGAATTACGAGAGCTCAATTTTCTCTAGTAACATGAACACCAGTTTCTAGCTGTTCTCAAATGTAACGTTTGAGATTCAATCGCATTCGTATAGGCACCGATTTTGAAGATCGGAATGAATGGGAAGTTACAAAAAGTTAGGCACAAATGTTGAAGATAGGCATTTGAAAGCAATATAAAACCACCAGAAGGCCTCTCCTTAAGAGCTACTTTGTGGTCATATATCAAAGTGGCAAAATAAGAACGCAAGAAGAGGAGGAGGAGGATGAAAGTTTAAGCGGAAAGACAGGGAGGTTAGCCAGTTCTTAGAATGACTTGCTATCCTGTGCTGTGGAAAGGGGTGATGGTAATAAAAGATTTTAAAAAG